CCCCTTTGTCATCTTTCCCCCATACCCTTCATCCTCCCACCTCCTCATTACCCCACCTCCTTTGTCACCCCTCGCCCACTCCTTCATCCCTCCAGCCCCTCATTGCCCCATCCCCTTTGTTGCCCCTCCCACAGCCCCTCATTACCCTACCCCCTTCACCCACCCCCTTGTCACTGCTCCCCATCCATCGCTCCCACCCCCACCTCGTCCTTTTGCAAAATAATAAAGTCGGGTGAAACAAACGCAAGGGTATGTTGGAAAACCTCAGCAGCTCTGGCAGTATCTGTGCAGTGAGAAACAGAGTTGGTGTTTCGAGTCCGGTGACTCTACCCCATAACCACTGACACCGCCAGACCTGTTGAGTTTCTCCAGCAATGTCTGTGTTGGTTTCAGATTTCCAGCATCTGCCGTACTTTTGTTTTGCGAGAGTCGGGTGAGTCTTGCTGGGACGTATTGATGGTGCTTGCTAGGATATTTTGGTGGTTCAGAAGAGGATATTTGTGTGTGTGAAGGTGAGCCTGACACACCCATTAGCTCCCCTGCTGTGTCTGCTCTAATCTAGCCTTTTGGTTTCTGGCAGGCTGTGCCCCCTGGTGGGGATCAGGCACATCAGCAGGTCTGCAGAGGCTCAGAGAACACTGGCAAGCAGCTTGACCAGCCTTCAGGTAAGAGCCAGTCCACACCTCACTTTCCACATCAGTCTCTGGGCCTCACCCGCACATAATGCAACTCAGAGTGTCACTCTGCATTATTGTTATAGATCACACTATCGACACACTCACACACACAGACACTCACACACAGACACACACACACACACACACACACACACACACAGTCACCCTCACACACACGTCACACTCACACACACACAGTCACACTCACACACACACAGACACTCTCACACACACACAGACACTCACACACACTCATAGACACACACATACACACAGACAAATACACACACACACACACGCGCAGAGACACACACGCGTTCTCATGGGTCTCTATAGGTCACTAGACAGAGTCAGTGCTGTGTTGGAATTGTCTGTTGTTCCTCCCCAGTTTTGCCTTCTCAGCCTCCACTGTGACACTCTCTGTTAAGTATCTACGAAATCTCTCCCTCTGCAGAAAACAGTGGAAGGTTGGCAATCAAATCTATTCAAGACTGACAGATTTTTGATGGACAAGGGAGTTGAGGCTGATTTATGGGGGGAGGTGAAAAACGAGAAATGGAGTTGAAACCACAGTCAGATCATCTATGATCTTGCTGACTGGTGTAGTAGGTTCAGAGGGCCAAATGGCTGATTCTTACATCCTCCTAAGCTCTCTGTTTCCAAACCAGACGGTGAAACTGATACACGTCCAGCTGTCTCCACTGCCAGGTCACATGGGAAAGGATGACTGCTCTGATGCAGCAAATGTGTGCAGCAAATTTCTGCACAGCAAGCTCCCGCAAATAGCTCTGTGACAACAACTGGATAGCCTATTGTAGTGAGGAGTTAAAGGAAACAATAAACAATAGCCAAACATCAAGGAGAACATGGATGCTGTTCTGGTCTGGATGGAGACTTGGTTCAATGCCTTACTTAAAGGATGACACCTCTGGCAGTGCAGCATTCCTTCACTACCATGTGGAATGGTCTGCCTGGATCTACACACTCCAGTTTGTGAAGTGGGGCCTGTTCCAACCACAATTTGAGCAGGAACCAGATTGCTACTGACTAGCCTCAGCTGACACTATTGATGGCCTGGATGAAGTGGCCCTCACTTTGTGTAACAACCCTTCCTGCCCACTTCCCAGTCTGTGGATCCAGCCCTGGCATTTTGCCAATGTTTGAACCAGAGAGAGTTGTTTTATTTTAACGGAGTGGTTAGCACATATGCCAAGGTGGCTGACAAAATGGCTGCTTACCCATGTGCAGACGGGCATGGTGATGCCACCTACTAAGGACGAAGTTCTCTGAGTCACAATGAATCTGTGTATGTATGGCCAACATTGCGAGGTTCTGTTAGTAATGTCAGACCAGCTGCACATGTGCAGATGGCCCAATGGAGCCAGAAGTTCCACATGTCAGGGGTAGGGGAGGGAGATGGAGGTGGAAACAGGCCAGGAGCCTGTCGTGAAGTAGTGCCAGTGGGTTAGCTGGACAGGTCTCCATTGGGAGTGTGCTCTAGAGCTCAGTTTGGATTCAAGGAGGTTGGGCTTGGGGAGAGGGGCAAGGTAGTGCTGACAGCACTGAGGACATTGCCCCTGCTTCAGTGAATGCCCCCAGACTATCTCTCCGGTTAGAAGGCAGCCATACTTGTTGCTTGGCAGTGACAGTACTGCAGGGTGGAATGTCCCTGTCTGTGCACACCTTTCGCCACCTAGAGGTGGTGTTCCTACATAACGCAACCTTCTTTTAAATACAGCTCTACTCAAGGAAATGTTAAAGCATAGAGATAGTAGGAACTGCAGATGCTGGAGAATCCGAGACAACGAGGTGCAGGGCTGGATGAACACAGCAGGCCAAGCAGCATCATAGGAGCAGAGAGGCTGATGTTTCGGGCCTAGACCCAATGTTAAAGCATTGTTATCAGTAAAGTAACTCCCTGCTCTTGCATGATAGACAAGGTTAAGATAGGGAATGAGCACAGAAATGTAGAAGATAAGGGCAGGGGCATTCGACCTCCCAAGCCTGCTCCACCATTATTTATGATCATGGCTGATCTTCGAGCTCAGTACCCTAACCCACCCTCCCTACCCAATATCCCTTCGGCCACAAGAGCTATATCTACCTCCTTCTTGAAAACAATGTTATGGCCTCAACCACCTTCAGTAGTAGTGAACTCCACAGGCTCAGCACTCTCTGGACGCAGGATATTTCTCCTTAGCCTTCATGCTTAAACTTTGACCAAAAACAGAAGTTGCTGGAAAAGCTCAGCAGGTCTGGCAGCATCTGTGAAAGAACAAACAGAGTTAACGTTTCGGATCCGGTGACCCTTCCTCAGAATCCAGATTTTTTCCTTCACAGATGCTGCCAGACCTGCTGAGCTTTTTCAGCAACTTCTGTTTTTGTTCCTGACTTACAGCATCCGCAGTTCTTTCGGTTTTTATGCTTAAACTATGATTCTGGTTCTGGACTACCCCATCTTTGGGAAAATCCTTCCTGCATCTACCCTGTCTAGCCCTGCTAGAACTTTAGAGATTTCTACGAGATCTCCCTTATTCTTCTAAATTCCAGTGAATGCAATCCTAACCGACTCAATCTCTTCGCATCCATCAGTCCTGCCATCCCAGGAATCAATTTGGTAAACCTTCAGTGCACTCCCTCAACAGCAAGAACATCCTTCCTCAGATAAGGAGCTCAAAACTTCACACAATATTCCAGGTGTGGTCTCAGCAATTTCCCCAAATAATTGCAGCAAGACACCCCTGCTCCTGTACTCGAACCCTCTCACTAGGAAGGCCAACATACCATTTGCCTTCTTTACTGCCTGCTGCCCCTGCACCCACACAATGAACATTCCAGGTCACGTTGAACATTCCCCTCTGTCAATTTGCGCTATTCAGATAATAAGCTGCCTTCCTGTTTTGCTACCAAAGTAGACAATGTGACATTTTGTCCTCATTATACTGCATTTGCCATACACTTGGCACTCAACACACTGCAACATCCCCGCATCCTCCTCACAGCTCACCCTCCCACCCAGCTTTGTGTCATCTGCAAATCAGGAGACGTTACATTTAATTCCCTCAACTAAATCATTAATATATATTGTGAATAGCTGGGATCTTGATCCCTGGTACTGATCCCTGTGCTACCTCCTCTTGTCACGCCTGCCATTCAGAAAAAGGTCCGTTTATTCCCAAACAAAAAAAATGCAAAGAACCGTAGATGCTTGAAATCTGAAACAAGAACAGAAATTCCTGGAGGAACTTGGCAGGTTTGGCAGCATCTGTGGACAGAAAGTCAACGTTTCAGGTCCAATGACCCTTCTTCAGAAGTGATTGTAGCTGGGAGAAGGTGGTATTTATGCTGAAGATAGGGGGTGTGGGGAGTGAGGAGGAAATGTTAGGTGGAGATGGAGCTCAGAGAGAGAGAGAGAGAGAACAGCAGCTGGGCAGGCAAAGGATTGGATAATTCATTCTTATTCTCGGTTTCCTGTCTGATAATCAATTTCTATCCATCTCAGTACACTACCCTCAATCCCGTGCACTTTAATTCTACACAACAATCTCTTGTGTTTTATCAAAAGCCTTCTGAAAATCCAGAAAAGACTCACCCCCCCCCCCCCCCCCCCCCCCCCCCC